TGTGGTGTCCGCGTTCATGCATGTACAGTAACTCGTATGTCAATCCTGACATGTGCACATGTTTGTAAACCTCAATATGAAAATGTTATATCAGCAGAAGCAAACAGATTATTGAGAAAAACTCTCAGACCAAACGATAGTCTCCAAACGGGGTCACACCCACACAGTTCTACACTGTATTTACCTCTCAGTCAAACATAAATAAACAATGGCTTCCAATTCATTCACTAGCATCTTCTGACGGAACCTTTCATTCAAATGGAAGCCTTTAAATGGGGGCAAAGTGAAGGGCTGTGAAATGGTGAAGCATCATCCTTTATCTAAATAAGCAACTTATAGAGTATAAAAAATGACATTCAAGTCAAAGTCGAGTTTGTATGTATGTATGTGTGTGTGTGTGTGTGTGTGTGTGTGTGTGTGTGTGTGTTTCTTTGTGTGCATCATTGTGTTTCGAATGAGCGGCAGGTCAAAGACACACACAAAAAAGACCAAGAAGAAGAAGTCGATTGAATGAAAAAGCGTTTCCATCCCAGAGGTGAACAGGCAGTGTAAAGCTGGCAAGCACACTGGGGCAATAGCACAGATACTCGTGTACGTTCACAGAGATGAATGTGCTCGTACTGTACATCTCACGCTCCTCTCGTCCTCGGGGCGCGCTGCACTGGTGTTGAGAGACCGGCAGGTTATTTCACCTCTACAGTTCATTTAAAAGTTGCACACAGTGCAGCACCAACAGACAGGGAGGAAACTTGTTAGTAAAAACAGAAAGAAAGACGAGGCGTGTTTGTGGGAACCATGCTGGTTATCAATTAGAAGTTATTATGCTACGCAGCACTAATGAATTCATTAGCTAAATGAAATGTCAATAAAGGCTTGAGAGAAATTTGAAATTGATGCCAACTGTCTTACTAACCCCTTACCCTGCTCTTTCCTGCCATCCCATCTCACCCATCTGTCCCGATTATACACCTTTCTCCCCAACACACACTCTCTCTCCAAGGTGTGAGTGTAAACCGTGATGGAGGACATTAGCAGTGATCAGCGAGAGCACATTGCAGTGGTCAGCAGGAATGGGCCGGTCATGCAGGACTTAAGCATTCAGCAGCACTCACTTGCTCACTCGGGAAGTGCTCCACCAGGGTCTGATGGCTCCATGTGTATATGTGTGTGTGTGCATACCATTACACTGTATGAATGAGTGACTGCAGCAGCGTTAGGGGTTGTGACTAAAATTGATTTCCTGATAATACTAAGCTGAAGACCCGTGTGTAGCGGCTCTACTCTTGGATCTAAAACACCTTTTTCATTTCAAATCACTTTTAACTTAACTCCTCCTTTCTGAAATTTGCTGAATTTCATAAATTGAGGAGATGCTATTACCAGCTTCATTGTCCCCAGGGAGTTCTTTGATACTGAGCCGGTATCACTTATTATTATGATCATCATTAACCGTGCATTGAGATGCCCACACCCGTGAATAAACCGGCAGAGCAAATGGCGAGCCAGTTGGCTCATTTCACCTCTGTCCCCTTATGGCTTAATATTTGTAGCTAAGTACTCGACTCTGACTCTGAACATGATGGTGTTTTTGTGCGGCTAAATACTTGTTTCAAGATAATTGTTCGGGAGGGGGGCATACGTTTAAATGCCACCTCATTTACATAAACACCGTTCAGCTCCCGGCGGAATCAATGTCAACACGAGGGCGCCAACGCGGAGCCACGTGCATACACACAAAGCACAAGCGAGGTCCCGTTCCGCCTCACTGTGCGTAGGCACGGCAGTGTACAGCAAAGGACTCTTCAGTGGAAGTATGCACACACACAGGGCAACCATATTCCACCGCGGGAGGTGTTTCTAAAGGGAAGTGGAGATTGAGGATGTTTGCTAAGTGACAGCTGAATATAGTATAATAAGTAAGAGGATCGGTTTGAATGGAAGGATACGCGAGGGCAGCATCTCTCCTCTTCACACACACCGTTCTACATCTCACCTCTGGTCCTCCCTCCATGCTGACAGTGAGAACGAAAAGCCTTTGAAGTGTTAATGAGAGTTTGGAGAATGACTCACCGACGATGATGATGATGATGACGCACTAATATGCATACGGGCACCAAACTTTAGACACGTCCGAGAGAGCTATCACAATGACTAATTAGCGATGGTAAACGAGTAATGAGCTAAATTCCGGTGTAGACAAACCGGCTCAATCCACCGGGAAGCTAAACAAAGCACAGAGATCTAGAAAAACACGGGAGGATTTGTTATGAAGTGGGGGAAAAAAAAAGGGGGCCAGTGTGTCTAGACGGATTCTCCTTACGATTCATAGGCGCCCAGTATTTTGTTAATGCTGCAACGCCTTATCAAAGGGAAGACACAACAAGTTACCTCTGACAAATCCCCGTTGAGATCTCCTTTGTACTCCACTGATCCAAGCCAAATCAAAGAGCAGCCGGCTGTGGTGCCGGCTCGCGCGGCATCCTCTACAACGGAAACGGACAGGTGCAATAGATGTGGACGCACATCTCAGCGAGGTGTGTTACACTCACCTGCTCCGCGCTGAAGGACTTTATCTTTCCGCCTAACACAGGAGGTCACTTTTGAACTATATTTGACCACAAGCGCTCACTGTTTATCATGCTGACAGGCGCATGAATTCAACGCGTCTAAACTAATATGGATGAATCTGAAGGAACGTCTCTTTTCCCTTTTTCGACCTTCCTTTTCTACTTACGCAGCGTTTTCGCAGCACAGAAAACTTTCCACACACTTATCCACATTAGTTTGGACATGGAGGTAAAATATATCCCTTCCAGTCTACAGCTTGAAGGTACGAACATGGACTCAACATTTCTGTTTGGATTTTCCCTTTGTCCAAACAGAGGTCTGCTGTGACCTGGAGTACGAATTCAATGGCTTGATCGGAGACACAACTCCAGAGAGAAGGTTCAATCAGGGTTATTGGTGAGAGGCAATCTTCTCAGTCCCTGCTGCTCATGATGTTCGCTTGAATTCATTTAGATAAAACCAAATCCAGTATTTCACAAACACTTGAGTGCGGCAACAAGAGTGATTTTCAAGGAGGCGTATGACACAGCACCATCAGAAAATAAAATGATGTCAATAGACCTCATCGAGTTTTAGTGCGGATCACAATTCTTCTTTTTAGATATCGTACAGGCAATATAAACAAAATATGCTTCATTGCTCACTGTCGTGTAGATTGCAGTAAGGAAATAATGAATCAAAGAATTAATTTTGAGTTCTCAATGGTTTTAACTAATCAAGAGGTAATCTAAGCAGTTGCAGATTTACTGTCTGTCAAACTAAATATTGATTAACTGACTGTCTGCATCTGATGATACATGACACCATTCAATAATTCTACAGTAGCTCCTGATAGATTTTGATCTACACGCAAAAAGTCTTTTGTCTTAAAACTCGTCTATTACTTGAAGCTTGACAGAAAAGAAAAAAGATGTGGCACATTGCAATGCATAACACATCTCATCTATCGTTGGGTCTCTTCTAATAAATGTTCACAGCACGGAAACAAAAGTTAGCAACTGCTTGAATATGCAAATGCATTCATCCCTCCAAATTTGTAGATCTGTCGGATGTTGTCAGTACGCTGCGAGATCATCTAAATTAGACTTCTTGTGAGGAATCGCTCTTGTTTCTGAGACTCATTTGCGTGTGCAATAAAAAGTGAGATTTTTGATGATTCTACAAGGAGATGAATGGGCTCTGAGACAGACTAAATTAAATAACTAAGTGAAGACGTACGCATACTGTACAGGGTGTGTGCACAACACCATTTTTTAGCTCTTCTCTCCACGTATGTGTGTCTGCAAAAGTTTGTACTTTGTCAACACGACTCTTTGCAGCATCTCTGTCAGACTCACTGCGTGTGCTCAACACTGTTCGCTCATTCCCATCACACAGTGGACGCGGGCCGAACATGACAGACTGGTAATGACTTGAGTATGAACACACACACACACACACACACACACACACACACACACGCACACACACACACACACACACACACACACACACTCGTAGACACGCTCATACACACATACCAGCTGCTCCTTTCCTCCTTTCTCATCAAACTTGTCATCAGCTCCGCCAGTTTGTCTCGTCTCACATTAAGAGCTCATGAATAATGTGTGATTACCAGAGACCCTCCGAGCAGCTCCTGAATCTAGAACACACACACACACACACACCAAAATATCATGTTCGTATTTACGTGCATTGCTATTTGCTTTCCTTCACTCTCTCTTTTTGTCACCCCCCACCCCCCAAACACCACCACTCCCTCTGCCCCACTCTCTAGATTTGTACAACTACAACAAATAAAAAAACACTGAGTGCACAAAAACTGAGACCCAGTTTGCAACTGAATGCCAGTCTGGTGGCTCAAAGGGACCACAGGCGACGGGAAAAGGTCAGGAAGTTGTTGGCAGATCGCACACATAAATACACTCACAGACACACACACACAGACACACACACACACCTAACAAATACTCCCCAGGTAATTAGTGCTATTTTCAGCCGGGCAACTCATCTCCTCCTGAAAGCACTAATGTAATTTGATTCGTTTAATTCCCATAGCCGTTAGCGAGATGGAAGCAAGGAGGGACAATGGCTTCATGGTTGGATAACTCATTTCTCCTCTGTTCCAAATATTCCTATATAACCTTTTTATTATGACTCCCCAAAAGAAGAAAATATTTTCTTACATCCTGCACACACTTTTTAGATACCTACAGGCGCACTTTCCTGTAGTTGTGAGGACTTTCCCATTATTGCTCTCAAACGTGTGATGAAATAGTCACTAGAAAGTGGAAAAAGTAGCTGAAATTAACTTTTTATCTTTTTACAAGCTCTGCCCCCTCAATCCACACACACACACACACACACACACACACACACACACACACACACACACACACACACACACGTTTAAGGAATCGTCGTTCTCCTACCGGTGAATCACTGGTTGCAGTTGGACACAGTGGTCCTCTAAAGACCCCCTTGACGCGACGAAAGTGTCCGTTGCTCAGGTGTGTGGAGCTGATCACAAGGTAGTAACACGCACTGCACGCCATCTCGGGGGGGCCTCACGGGGGGCTTTGGGCCCAAACACGGCGGGTGCCTCACTTCCCTCCGTCGGGTCCTGGATGCCAGCAGCGTCCCGGATGAAGGTCGCCAAAGTCTGTCTCCGCGCAAAAGGCTGTGGCAGGTGGGAGCGCGACGCGAGTACGTCTCACTCACTCGGGTCCTGCGCCGCAAAGTCTGTGCTTCCTTTCAAAAAGCGGAGACAAGATGAGAAGGGTGATCTTTGAGACAACTATTTTACAGAAATGGACAAAGAGCGGGACAGGGAGAGAGTGAGAGACACGGATGTCCGTACTGACCGCGCTCCGCCGCGGGCGTCTGCGCTTGGCATGCCTCCGCCGATCGGACTTTCAAAAAGGAACGAGCGCCTGTGGAGTGTCAGAGGAGGAGATGAATCCGTCCCATCTCTTGTGTCGGCCCCCCTTTACCCCCCGCGTCGTCTTTCCGCTGCACTATGGTCCGGTCTGCAAAGTGTGTGCAGCATCAGCCGAGCGGCAGCAGCAGCCCGAATGGGAGTTTTCAGTACGAAGAACGGGGGACGAGGGGGGGTGGGAGACAGGCACTCTCGCAGGTGCGCCTCCTCTTCGTGCACGTCGGAGGAGAAAGAACGAGGAGACAGCTGACCCTTTGTCTTTACCTCGGCTCACCATTGGGGAAAAACCAGCCGTCTTGTGAATGAGAGACGCAACATTCATCCAGAGCATTGTGTGTGTAGTTATTATCAGGCTCCAGCCCAGGCTGTCTGAAGTGGTTCACAATCCCTCTCAAGGAATAAACTCTCCCCCCCCCCCCCACCCTCACCCTCTCTCTTCCTCTCTCTCTCTCTCTTGTGGCTGCACTAAGGCAGACTTCTGTCTGCTGTAGCCTGTACTATGCAACCCGAGCCCATTTGTGGGTCTGGGTCAGTAGATGTGGCAACCACCTCTATCCGTACAGGTGTGTCATTTGTGTGTGACTGAAGAATATTTGTAATTGAGCCACTGGCAATGTGCCAATTTCTCCCCCTCTCTCTCTCTCTCTCTTTCATATGATCTGGTCCATCCTCACCCCTCTCTCCTATTTATTTTGATTTTTTTTCTTCTCCTTTGGATGGCATCAAAGCAAAAGCGCCACACGCTTTCACCAGGTTGTCGGTATCGTCAAGGGAAGGGAAACCTCCCTCGGTTGCAGCCTCAGAGCCAATGTGATTACAGATAAAAGGGTCTTTCTCCGGGCTCGGCCTGTCAAACTGCGCCGGACTCAAAGAGTAGCTGGGAACTGGCTGCAGCTGAGCCTCAGTGTGTCTGAGCGGTGCATGGCGCTGTTCCCCAACGCGGTGCAGCCACAGCACGTTCATGCATATTCAGCCCGGTATTAGGGCGCCCTTTGTGCTGCACGTCAACACCGAACGCTGCAGACAGCTTTGCGTTATGAAGGTAAACGCGAAGTAGACGGGACACAGAGGGACACAGGGGGACACAGAGGGACACAGTCGCATACCTCCCACTTTCTGCCCCCTTTATTTACCTGACATGTGCACCGGAAACAGATGCATCTTTCAGGTTGGCCCAACGTTTGTGTTGTTTTCCCCTTTGGGTTGTATTTAAGTAAGGACACTGTTGTTCTGATTCACAGAAAAAAATGGAACCTCAACAATGCTTTTGCTCATCCCATTGTTTTTTAACTTCCGAACACTTCTAATGCAGGTATAGCTGACTTGTACTGCAACATTTGCAAACCTGTTATTCTCGGTCGCCTCCTACTCTTCATCAAACTGTTGCTCCTGTGCAACCTACTCATTCTCTCGTTCTATAGCGTTTTGTGTCCCGTCCTCCAGGCACTACCACTTCTCGGCCCTCTCAAACCGCAACTTTCTGTAGCTGCCAGCAGCACTTCATGAGCTGACCTCGGAGCAATGTTATTTGTTTTTTTAGAGCCACTCAGTGGGGGACCGGGCTCCGGTAATGAGCCCGACTGCCGACAGGAAGAAACTGTTCTTGTGGCGTGAGGTGTTGGTCGTGATGGACCTCAGCCTCCCGCCAGATCGAAGGGACACAATCAGGTTTTGGGTGAGAGGGGGACAAAAACTGTGTATAAAGAACAGGTGAGCACTGCTGCAAAGCTAAACGTTTTCTCAAAAGTACACCAAGTTCACTATTAAATTCCCCCTTTGAGCCAGATGTTGGGCTATAACCCCTGTTTATTCTTTTAGATATTAGAAGCTTCTTGTGTATATTACATCTTTGTGTAATGTCTATTTTAGAAAGGAATTTAAAAGGGAAACTGTGTTAGAAATATCAGTTGTACACCTGTGTCATATTTTTTCTTTTCTTTTCTGTCAAGAACCATAGCTACTATTGAGCACACGGTGGTCTTGTTCTTGATACTTTTCTGGGAATTTTTAATGTTTTAGGAACCGTAGGTTTTTAGTTTTAAATTTAAAATTTTGGCTTATTTTAGGCCAATAAATACATATCAAATATAATAGACAGACAAAGATAAAAGTCCCTTCAATATCCCTTTGACAAACATTGTTCATTGAAATCTACGTATTTACTAATTTTATTGTTTTTTTAATGTTTCTTTTGAGAAAAGAGATATTTGTGTTAAATAACATTTTCAGACATCATAACTGAAAGGTTTACAAAAAAACCCCGTAAAGCCTTTTGGTGTCAGGTGAAGATTTCCTATGGGGGATGAGTTCCTATCCTGATTTCAGTATTTCTAATATGCCGGCTACTTCCCTGCAGTGCTTATCATGTGGTTTTGCATGAGTCAGTGGGTAAGTACAGCAGTTTTCCTCTGCTCATAATCTCTCCAGTGAGTTGCTATCTGCTAAGCCGTCTAGTATCTTCTGCCAGTTCAATGTAACCCTGAGGGTAACACGTAACCACGTGTGTATTGGTGAGAGGCTATTTACTGATAATGATCCTTCCCAAAGGCCTGCATTGTTGGTTTGGTTTGGCAAGGCTCAGCAGTCTAAACTCTAACATAACCCACGCTGCTCTCCAATTTCCTCCTGCAGCCACCGGCCTGAACCGCGGAAGATCATATTGGCACGACTCTCTAATGACAATCAAATCCACTGGGTAAAAACATCCCTCCCATGTCTGTATTTGGACACCTATGCACCTACACGCTAAATAAACACCAGTTCTTTCTCACACGTGAAATGGGAAATCAGTTTTGAGCAGAAAATTAGAGCCAGTAATGAGTACATCGTGAATAATCAGACACTGCAGACAAACAATGGCACCAACACCTAAAGGTCATTCATAAAAACATGTATGGATTAAACATGTTTTAAAATGCCAGGGATCAGAACGCGCACAGTACGGTAGAGGTATGTTATTTTGTACCTTCAGATCATACTGGGTGTTTGTGTGGGTTGGGGCCTGGCTTCCCAAGAGCCAACCCTGTGTGTATTTTTTAACCCCCCCCCCCCCCCCCCCCCCCCCCCCCCCCCTGCTATCTCCTTGCTCCTGGTGCACTTATTACTGTTGGAAATGATGCAGTAATACCGAGAGGATGGGGGTGGGTGCGAGGCTGAGACAGGGCGAGAGACAGAAGGGGAGACTTGATAGAAAGAAAAGGGGAGAGGGCAAAATCGCGGCAGTATCTGTTTTCCCCAGTTGCCGCCTGTGGCTCTTTTCCTCTCTCCGCCCTCCTTATAAACCATTGAAATATTACAGTTTGGGATTTGGCACATATTGCTGTCCTTTATGCGCAGTTCATGAGATTCCATCTGAATGTGTTATGATCCAGAAGTGGGAAAGTTTGTGTGTTTGTGTGGTATGTCGATGTGTGGGACATCAGTATGGTCCCTGCAAAAATTCTCCATTATATCGCTATACTCTCTACATAAAATAGTACGCATATGATTTCTATGTGTGGAGGCAGAATAATATCCCTACAAGAAATCGCAGAGCAAAAGTGTGAGGATGATTCCTCAGATAAATACTGCACTGTTGAAGGTAAACTGTGGCTCTTTTTTAAAAACAGCATTCAATTTGTGAGCAACATATAAGAGCGCTATAATTTGACACCATCAGACGTGAGCAGGTGTGTAAGCACATATGTTTGCACATATGTGTACGGGGAAATTAGGATTTACCATTCTAATATCTGCATTTGTCCATATGCGCCTGTGGACATTTAGATTTATTTCTCAGAGTGTGTGAGTATGTGTGTGTGTGTGTCTACTCACCTGCATGTGTGTGCACAGCTTGTGAACGTGTAGTGCCAGCATCTGTGTCTTTATCTCATGTGTGTCCGCACATGCACCAGTGAGAATATAAAAATGCCATGAACGGTTGTGTCTGCATATGGGCGAGGCCATGCACTTTGTCTTGCACTGCAGATTGATAGAAATGAAATATTCTGTAATCTAAATGTAAATGGAAGTGAAATTTACCGGTGGGTTCTATGTAATTACCAGCGCCACAATTTATTAGAGTTGTGTTTGTGCAAGGTGGTGACCAAGAAAGAGAGTATGAAAGAGAGCGAGAAGAGGGATTGAGGGGGAATAAAGTGAGTGTGGAAGGACCATCAGAATAAGAGAAGGGATGATTTATATTTAGTTATGGTTTCATGGTTGAGCAATACTGTATATGCGCAGGCTCACTTCATGGGAAATTGGAAATAAGAGGCTAGTCAAGTCTGGTCAGAAGGGTCTGTTTGGACAAAAGAATAGGAGTGTAGTGGCCTCTCCTCTGAATACGACTCAGTTGAGCACACAACAGAAAGGAGAGGAGTGTAAAATATGGGATGAGGGTCAGACTTGTTGACAGCATGGCTTTGGATTTGAACTTGATCTCCTGGGTGGCAGTCAATTAGTCACTCTCTGTAAAGGGTTCTGATATGTCTCTGATATATGGACAGTGTGTGAGTTATGCTCTGTCCCGACCTGAACCCTGCTGGCCATGCAGTCAAAGTGAAATGGTATCAGAGGCAGTTGCACCAAAAGAGACTGGCATCATTATGGTGTGCTGCTCCGCCCGCACTATGAAAGGGGACTACAACTCTGTCTCATACCTATGCAGACAAAGCGTGTATTTAGTTAAGTGTGTGTATATTTCTCTTTTACTTTCTGTGTGCATCTTTGTGTGCACATGTTTGCTAAAATTCCCTGTGCTACATTCCGATAGAGCTCTAATTCAAGAGTTTGAATGCACTTCTAGCAATTCATTTCACACATCTGAAAATCCTTTCCCCCTGATCCTCCCCCGTTTGCCCCCTCTCCACTCCGCAGCCCCCTCCCCTCCCTTGGCATACTCCCTGGGAGCTAATCAGCATATATTCTGCTGTGGATGAAAGTAATGGCCCTAAAAGCAAGCACCAATCCAGAAATACACAACCGCCCCTGTCCAGAATGAATGACATAATTCTGAAATGCGTGCTACGTGTGTGCGTGGCCTATTTTGAATGAATTTCTCTCCTTTTATTTGCTATGAACTTCTACCAGTATGGACCCCGCACCTGTTTGGCATTGTGATGCCAGATTTAAAATGTGCTATCGATTGGACCAAAAGATGCCGCTGTGTCTGAAAGCGCGTGAATGTGTTTCCCCTTGTTTGTGACAGTAGGAAGCTGTTTGGAATGGCAGCTATCTCATTTATTGAAAATGCCAAATATCAGTGGTGCTTTGTAAATAATAGATACGGTCTGTTGATGGGGTTTGGTTTGTCCCAGAGGACAATGGAAACACACTGTGCAGAGCCAATTTTAGTCAAACACACGGGAGCACACTCATGTGTCCTCACATCCACAGTTA